CTCTGTGTTCTCATCTGTATAACGAGGACGTTTCTTTAGGACTCACAGGGCCCGGGCCCTTCATTTGGACTATTACTACAAGGAGGTTTGTTGATCCTCAGCTAAAGGGAAGGGGGGAAGAAAAAAACATGCGGAGAAGGTGGCAATTGTATGAGCATGCACGGAAATTCAGTGGCACTTTGAAGACCTAGAACCTCGTCCAGCCGGGGCACTCCTGTCCCGCCTCTTGCACACGTCCCAGTGGGGCTGGGACCTCCCGAGTGAGCTCCAAACCTCCGTCCTTGTGGGATTCACGGTCATGCCGCTGACATGGATGTCCTTCCTTCTCCCACCCAGGGTGCAGCTGAGCGAACTGGTAACCTGCATGAGTCCTGCAGGATGCAGGCCCTCCAGCAAGGCACCTCGGAGAAGGTGGCCATGGCCATGGTACCAGCTTTCCCGGGGGGAATCGTCCCCCACGTCTCCACGCTGGCCTTCTCCAGAGCCCAACGGTTCCTGGAGGAGCTTTTAACTAGGTGAGCACACACTCGTGACTCTGCCCACTGCTAGCTGTGAGGCTTGAAATGTCACCACATCTTCCCGAGTCTCAGGATGCTCCTCTGAAAAGTGGGCTGCTGGGGGGGTCAACCTCATAGCACTGCTGTGGGGACAAGCCATGGCAGGTCTCACCTGCTCCCTGGCTCTGCAGACGGGGTAGCTGGACGTGCAGCGGTTGTTGGTGGCAATTCTTTCACTCTGTCCCACGGAAAGAACTCTGACACACCCATCAGCGGCCTGTGGCATCGGAGGTTGGAAAAGCACATGGAAAGCAACCTGTTAAGCAGTGTGAGATTTCACCTAGCCGGTCCTGGTCCTTGGTGTAGCCACACTGGGGATTTCTGGGGAGAGCAGGGGCCCAGGCCCACTCAGATGTATGGCATGCTTCTGGTTGGAGTTTCTTTACTCGACAATGTGCATGCACTTTTGGAGACACTTAGCCTGACTCAAGGAATGAAGCAGACACAATCCCTGGGCCTCAGTTCTGGGCAATGGGTCCAGCAGTCACGCTGTCCACCATTCGCAGGTCGTGTCCACCATCCATCAGGGCTGATGCCATCAGAGTGTTTTTTCCATCTGGAGGCACACCTCCTTACAATGACCGGGGTGACACACCGCAAGCCCAAGTCATAAAGTGAGTGGTCTCCGGGTCCAGAAGGAGGGCCCCCAGAGTCAGCATAGTGGGGACTGTGTGTGTGGGGAGGGGAAGGGGGGAGGGTGCCTGGCAGAACCCTAATCTTATACATCATCTGATTCCCAAGAAAGGCCTGAGCTCTGGAGTCTTCTATTCCAGGAGGACAGGAGTCAAAGACGACAGTGGGTGGGGTCCCGGGCCTTGTAGACCCAGAGGGGACGCTGGGCTGAGTTGTCCCTCAGAGTCCCCTGCCCCCCCACAGACCCACCCCGCTCTGCCTGCCCCTCTCCATATCCATCTCCCCTGACCACTGTGGCCAGGCTCAGAACAGGATTGTGGTGAGCAGGCTGCTCACAAGTCTGTCTCAGTCCTCAGCCCAGATGCCCAGGGCCTGGAGGGTGGGGCTGGGCAGTGCACTGGACCTTCAGGAGAGCTGCCAGTGGGAAGAAGAGTCTCACACAGACTCTGTGTTGAACCTCCTGGATCCCATACCTGCTACAACCAGGACAGCCACACAGGGGCCGGGGGTGGCATGGGGCTGTGCCCTGGGTGGGCAAGGGGGGCCTGCACAGAGGCTCCGATCTAAGCCAGTGTGCCACGGGAGGGCAGAGTGGAAGGAAAGACCAGGACTCAGACTCTGCTGCCCACCTGCCTCTCCCCAGGGCCTTTGCTGCGATGGTGGGGACCTGGCTGGACCAGGTCCAGGGTTTGGGGCAGCCCCTTCCTTTCGCCTGTTTCGAGGCAGAGCAGGCCTTGGTGCCCATCAACTCCCCTGCTTCACACCTGGTGGGCCACGCCCAAAATCTATGGTTGGAGCTGCAGCATCTTGAGCCCACCAAGGCAACTCAGGAAGGTGAGGGGGACTGATAACCTGGGCAGATACTCTGGGGAGGGCAGGCTCATGGGCTGGAGTTCCCTGAAAGGCGGTGGCATCTTTTCTGTCTGTGGAAAGTCACGGGAAAGCCAGGTGTGTGAGTCAATCTGTCTCTTTCTCCTGCTCCAGGTCCACGCCCTGAGCTCCAGAGCTCTCCAGAGACAGAGGAAGGGCCTGCTCAGGGGCCAGAGCCTGGTCCAATGAGAGGCCCTGCCCTGGCCTGGCCTGGCCCAAGGCAGTACCTGAAGCCATTATGGAGCCAGCTACTGGCTGCGCTGGAAGCCTTCTCTTTCTCTGTTCTAAGAGTTCTAGGCAATTACATCAAATAACTAAGAGGAATACACCCGAACTATATATTTATAATATCAAATAATGATAATTTCCCAAAATACCTAGCTATTTATGTAGACTATAATCCATTAAATACTCTGGAACAAAGAGAAATAAAGTTGTTGATTTAAAATATGTGTAGATGATATCTACTCGTGTATATAGACATATGTTTGTGTATATATGCTGATATGGAAAGATGCTCACTATACCACACATTTTAAAAATAACTCCTGAAATTTAATTTTTTTCTGGTAATTAAACAAGTATAAACTGATAAAATGATGAAATACAGTTTGGAAATGTATAAAATGTTAACACTAGTGAACTCTAGGAAGTGGGACTGCTAGAATTGACAGTTTCTACCTTTTCTGCTTAGTACTTTCTGGTTTTCACCAGGGGCCCAGTGCACGAATTTGAGCATCTTGAAAGGAACTGTGGGCTGAGAGGCTGCGGTGGGCACAGGGGTGGGTCTTGGCCCATCCTCCGTGCCCCCACCCGGCCCCATTCACTGCGGCCCCTGGTCCCATCTGCCGGCAGTCCTGCTCCCACCCATTGACGGCATGGAATGGTTTGGGCCGGTGCCAGCAGCAGGCTCAAGCAGCAGCTGCTGCCCCAATTGCCCCTCAGGAGCAGGGGGAGGTGTAGAAGCCCTCAGGGGCTATCTGGGCCAGCAGCTGCTGCTCGCACCCACTGACGGTGCTGAGCGATTGGGACCAGCGCCGGGTGCTGGCATTGGGTGCAAGTGGGGTCGGCGCAGGCAGCAGATGCGAGCGCTAGGCAGGACTGCAGTGCACGGGAGCAAAGAATTTTCAGTAACCACTAGAGGTTCGCCCCAATGACAGCAACCAGCGCCCCACCTTGGTCTGGTGCTCCTGCTCACCTGCTCCACCATCCTGCAGTGGCTGATGCCTGCCACGTTCCGCACGTACCCCCTGGTGGTCAGCACACATCATAGCGACCCGTTTTTCCACTGTTTGGTCTATTTGCATATTAGCCTTTTATTATATAGGATATTACCTTCTGTCTCAGGTTCAACCATTTCTTTGAGAAGCTTTTGTTCCTTTTATTGGAGAATGACATTAGAACCAAGACCAAGGTACAAGTGGTATCCTAGTTTCTGAGCATTATGTTCTTTTCCCCCAGATTTATGGAGGTATAACTATTATACAAAAATGCACATAATTAATGTATACAATTTAGGAGTTTGTGGTGATAGCAACATACACTTACGTTGCTACCATCACAACCAAGGTATTAAATATTTCCATCACCTCTGAGTTCCTTGTGTCCCATTATTTATGGGTTTTTCTTTTTGTGCTAACAACACTTAACATGAGATCTCCCATCTTAACATATTTTTAAGTGCACAACACATTATTTGTTAACTACAGGCATGATGTTGTGCCATAGATTCTCGGAGCTTTTTCTTTATCTATTGATATGACCGAGGAATTTTTGGCCTTTATTCTATTTATGTGGTGTATTACATCAATTGTTTTGCATATGTTGACCCTTCCTTGCACCCCAGAAACAATTCCCACTTGTCATGGTGTATGACCCTGTTAATGTTCTGTTGAAATCGGTTTGGTAACATTTTGTTGAGGATATTTACATCTGTAATTATCAAGGTCATTAACATGCAGTTTTCTTTCTTTGTGGTGGTCTTTATCTGGACAGATTCAAAATGGTTATTTTTCTCTTCATCACAAGAATCCAGTGGGGTTCCAGGAGTAAAACCCATGAAAGAGTAGCAACCTCCCTAAGACTGCAGCCTCCTGCAGTTTCTCACTCTTAACCCCAATCCACACTCAGCATTCCGCAATGTGTCACAATTACCATTTAACGTTCCTAAGCGCTCAAGGCTCCAGCAGCTCCGGCTCAGCAGACATGAGAAGGCCCTGTGTGTGCTCTGGAGCTTCGGCAGGTGTCAGGGTGATGAGTGCAGGAGAAGTTGTTGGCTTTCAAATTGTTCACACTTTTTTCTTCACGAAGAGTAACAACTTCTAATGCTCTACATTTCAGCTGTTACCACAGTCCAAGTAGTTAATATTTTATAAAAGTTAAGGTCCAATTTAGATACATTAAAGGAGGAAACAACCAATCCTCAGGCCAGTAATGTCAGAAGTGCTGTTATAGTAGCACCAGGGGCTAGCAGTCACCCCCGATGCCGCTGGTGCCACACCATCAGGAGCGGGGGCAGCAGAGGGTGTGGAGACCAGTGTTTGTTTGTTTTTTTTAAAACATATTTTATTGATTTTTTACAGAGAGGAAGAGAGAGGGATAGAGAGTCAGAAACATCGATCAGCCGCCTCCTGCACACCTCCTACTGGGAATGTGCCCGCAACTAAGGTACATGCCCTTGACCGGAATCGAACCTGGGACCTTTCAGTCCACAGGCCGACACTCTATCCACTGAGCCAAACCAGTTAGGGCGGAGACCAGTGTTTTGTCTGCACACAACGTGAATCCTATGTGAACAGGGCCCACATCCTCATCGCAAATGTGCTGATGGGCACGTCCCTGTGGTCACTGTCCCAGGGGCCTGAATGAAACGGAACAAAGGCAGCACCTAGATTTTCTCCCTCACCCACTGACTCCTCAGTCTTGCTATGAGACTGGAGCACAATGTACACAAATATTGAGTAAAATTTTTATTATTACACTCTGAGACTTCAGGCCATTGGACACAAGAAAGCCTAAAATGAGGATGAGAGAAACATCGGTCAGCCGTCTCCCACATGCACCCCGACCAGGAATCAAAGCCGCAACCTTTTGGTGTACAGGATGACACTCCATCCACTGGGTTCTGACCCTGACATTTCCCATCAGCCACCGTCTCCTGCTGCTACCCATTCCCTTACCTGGGAAGGGAATGAGCTGTGAGCACTGCGCCTTGGGGGCACCCCAGCCCCACACCCACCTTAGTGCCCCTCCCTGTAGGGACCCTCCAGCCTACCCCTTGGCAGGTCCAGGGTCAGCCGCAAAGGCCCAGGGCTGAGGACACAGGGCTCCTGGAGCAGCATGGGCACAGGTTGAGACAGCTGCCCAGGCGACACCTGCCAGGTGAGGGAGGACCCAGCACAGGCGGTGTTTGTTTCCAGGAAGGACCAGCAGTGTTGAGTGTTGGCTCCAGGCTGCATCCTCAAAGCTCCCTCTGGGTGGCAGTGAGGGGGAAAGGGTCTGGGTGACAGGAGAACGGCACCTCCTCCTGAGGCACGGCAGGGGGGGGCGGGGAGTGGGCTTTGGAGAGGGAAGGAAGCGAATGATTCTGGTGGAGGTGACTGCAGTGGGGCGCTGTGTGGAGTCAGGAGCTACAGCGCATGGGGTGGTGGTGAGGAATGGACGTTTGGGACATCCTGTGAAATGTCCAGATGTTCTGGTGGCCAACCCTACTTGTTGGGCAAAATCTGTTAGGAAAATGACTGAAATGCCGAAGAAAAGTGACCTAAATCTAAAAGCCAGAGGATTGGGGACACATGGGGACGCAGCTTTCTGACCTTTATTTCTGAGAAGAAAGGTGTTTTTTAAAAATTAGTTGTAACTTTAAGGCCTTAGACTCAAATGTATTATTCACACTGTTACATTGCAAATAGGAAAGAGGTAATCAATTGGCTGATCAGGTGTGAAAGGATTTTCACAAGACTTTACAGAAAAAGCTCATGTGACATCCCCTGCTTGTCAGCTGATGACAGGCCACCACACCGACGCCCCTTGGTCAGCGCTAGGGCCTGTCACACTTGGGCCTCTCCTTCTGTGGTCCTGCCACCAGCAGCCACTAGAGCAGTCTTGCAGGCCCCTCGCTGGGGCCAGGCCGCGGGGACCGTGTGGGGCCACAGAGAGCCCCCTCAAAGTGCAGCACGTGTCGGGTTTGGACAGTTTTTATTTATTACTTTCACATTCACAGACTCAGGCAGCCCCTTTGAGAAAGGGGAGGGGGAAGCTGCCTGGAAGAAAAGCTGGGCTCACGGCACGTGGGACTTCTCACGGGGAAACGGGCCTCGGTGTCAGCAGGCACCTGACATGGTGGCCGCAGCTCGCTCCTCGGTGCCTGGGAGGTGCATTCCTGGAGGCTGCCTCAGCCCAGGATTTTATTGCTGGTGAACCTCACCGTCCGACTTACAGCCCGGGGTGACGGCACTAACAAAACAGGTCCAGGGAGCAATTGGCTGAGATGAAACTGAACCATGTAAACTGCACGGACTGCCACGCTGCCCTGCTGGCCTTCAGCCCCAGGGAGGGCCTGGGGGGATGGAAAGGGAAGCCCTGCTGCCCATCCAGGTGGAACAAAGACAAGAGAGGGACAACCATCAGGACGGGCACGCCCACATCCACAGCAGCCTGAGCTCCAGAACCCACCAGCTCTTCCTTTTCCCAAAGACGTTCGCTTCTCAGGTGGGAAGAACACTCCACTCCCCTTTTTCTGAATATGTAGCTCTTGGGCTCAGTGAGATAACCACCTGGCAGACAGAGGATCGGAAATATGGACTAGGGGTGCTCAGACGTGTATTCTGAAAGGACGGACTGCCAAAAAGTGCCCTAGGGTCACCCCGAATCCCACAGGAAGGCGACAGTCGTGGAAAGAATGGTTTACCTCTGTGATTACAGCAGCGCCAAGATGAGAGCCAGCGCTGTCATTTTATTACACAGACTTGGTCTTGCGTTAGCTCCTGCCAGTTCTGCACACCATCAGCTCCTCAGGTCTCCTGAAAGCGCGAGGTGCCCTTCCTGCTGTGCCCCGGTGACAGGCAGGCCCCTCCCCTCCTTGACAGCCGAGGGAAATGACGGCTGTGCCGTGTAACTGCTCCTCCTGGTCTGTCAGACTGCAAATGTTTAGTCCTTTTACCCTTCTGGGTAAAAGGCCTCATGGCATTGGTAGGCGTGGGGGCGAGGCCCTCAATGCACCTGATGTTCACACTAAGCCAGAACCGCCGGGTGCAGCTTCACCGGCCGAGGTGCACATGGCCCGTGGGTGCCCGCAGGAGTCTTGAGGGGTGAG